AATGTCTCTTTAGGAAACATGTTTACATCTCCAAACACAACACAACATTGTAAACAAAATCACACGAAGAAGCTGCGACTTCCATTGCAAATACAACAGATAGAGCGTCGGGATGAAGTGGAGGTGGAGGTGCCCGAGTGTCAACAAAGGGGGTCCAGGAAGTTACTGCCCACAAAGCCACTGTTGGTGAAGGAGCTTGTGAGTAGTTGACCATCGGAACTGATGTCTTCCGTGCCTGGCACAGAGTGGATGCTCACATGTGTTAGCGCTGACAAGCAGTAGATAGTAATTTGAAAAAACTGATGTACTGAATACATTAAGGCTACAGTACAGCGGTGAGGGGTGGGGGTGGGGGGGAACCTGGCTCTCCTCGCCTGGTTGTCCAGAATGCTGCCAGCTGCCCAGGAGAAGATAATGGGCTAATTACAAGGTTGTAGGAAGTGGTTTGAAATAATTTGATTGTGGGGTAATTTTTATAATTTAGAATGAGAATTAGAGGGTGTGAACGTTTCTTGATCACCCAGTGGAAAGCTGTAGCTAGGGGTCTCCCATACCAGGGGTCGTGTCATCCCTTACTGCACCATCCACCTTGACCTCAGTCATGGATCCTTCTGACCAGCAAACTGCACACTTCCTCCTTCCCGCATCCAAATCGCAGGCGGGGTTGGACCATGTACCGGCTACTGGGATGCTCCTGAGATGCTCTAATGTCCACTAACACTGTCCAGACCCTGCTTGCTGACCTAGCGGGAGATGTCAGTGAGGCAAGGATGGCAGCCTGGGCGAGTGTGGGAAACCCATTCACTCACTGCTGGCCCGGATGTGCACCAGGACAACAAGATAAGCTCTCCGCTGCAGCGTGGAAACCTACAGCCAAAGCCCTAATGTTCTCTCCACTCTTCATCCCAGCAATTTTGTTTCCAGAATTTCAGCCGGACAAAACCGTCCACAACGTGCAGAACAATACAGCCACAAAAACACATTTTCAGATATATCAAAACGGGATGATCTGGCTTAGCCTCTATTGCAACCTTGACACAAAAATGACATTTCCTGTCTTTACAGAATCTGTGCTATATAATTTTTAATGTGTTTTCATTGAATGGACCTATCAAAATTGACACAAGCAGTTCCCTATTGTTGGACATGTTCTATTTTTTAGTAGGAAAAATGAAAAGCAACCTAAATGTCCAACAGTAGGGGGATGGTTGAAGCCATATAATGGGATGGTCCTATATTTGGTTTCACACACACACACACAGACTGTGCATCAATATGAGCAGGTGGTTTGCTCACAGATGACTTTTTTCTTCCCATTTTGGTTATATTTATGGCCAATTTTTTACAATAACTATATATTATATAAACATTTTAAACATTGTTTTCAACTTCCTTCCTCCACACGGAAGCCTGAAAGAACCCCTAGAAGAGTGAAGGGTGGGGCGTGGTACAGTCATCACAGATGAAATGGCAGCATATGCCTCCAAGTCATGCAAACCTTTGGGGGTGGGGGTGGGGAAGTAACGCATTAGGCCTGCCAGTTACACGGCCACAGCCAGCAGCCCTGCATTTGAACAGAAGAATGATGAGCACATTCCCAGGGTGGGGAACACCTCATTTGATGTCTGCACACGGTGGCAGGAATGAAACCACTGACCCGGACTCTAGTATCTGGGTAGTTCTTGGAAAGTCACTAAGTTGAGTTTTAACAAGGCCACGACTCCTACTTAACCAGTCCTTCACCCTTGGAAGTGGGGGCGCTGGTGGGATACCAAACTCGCAAGAAGCCAATTTTCCTTCACTCTTCAGCTCCACCGAAAGTGCAACTTCACTTTCAGGCAAAAGCAGATGTACTAGGCGGCTGCTCCAACCACAGAGGCAGAGCCCTCGGTTAAGTCTGGGATGTGGCCTCGCCCGGCCAGCTCCTGAGAGCACAGAGAGGATTAAAGAATGTGAAATGGGCCCGGCCAGCGTGGCTCAACGGTTGAGCGGCCACCCAGGAACCAAGAAGTCACGGATTCAATTCCCAGTTAGGGGACGTGCCCAGGTTTCTGGCTCCATCCCCAGTGGGGGGCGTGCAGGAGGCAGCCAATGAATGATGTTTCTCTCTCATTGAGTTTCTATCTCTCTATCCCTCTCCCTTCCTCTCTCTCTAAAAATCAATTTAAAAATATTTATTTAAAAACAAAAGAGAAAGTGAAATGGGACAGTTCCTACACGTCCTCAGGTTTACACACCAAGCCCTGAGACGAGGTTCCCACAGTCAGAACTTCCTGGAAGGAAGACTCCATGGGAGCCCAGATGGCGGCCTCCCAGGGGTAAATCAGACGGTAACAGAAGCGGGTTCAGGACAGGCTGCCATTGTCATCAGTGAAGCCTTGATTAACACCATATTCTTGCTGGAGGAGTTCTCAACTGTTAGCACAGCCAACCACAAACATCTCCACCAATTCCCAGTTTCCCTGCAGCTCCCAGGAGGGGGGAGGGGGTCCTTACTGATGGTCTGTTGCCAGCTGCCCAGGAGAAGGACGGGCTAATGTGTGCATTAAGGTTGTAGGAAGTGGTGGGCACACATTTTTCTCACACACACATTCACGCACGTTTTCCCTCGCTAAGTGACTCCTTATTCTTTTGTTGTTGACTTTTGCTTTGTAATCGGTATATTCAGGGGCATTCATACATTTATATTATTCTTTATTCTTAAAACTGACTTTTTTCTTCAAAGGAAATCTTGAAAACTCCGTCTTAAATTACAGTGACGATGCCCACAATGCTTTAAATGCGGCCTTCACATGCTCTATCTACTGGGCAGAAAGGAACCAGGAAGCTTTCCTGTCTCGGACTTTACAAGGACGGCAGTTACCGAAATGCCCCAGTTCAGTTTTATTACTGAATTTAATTTACCCTCGTTTACCTGCGGGCGAATACAAACACCCACTTCGGTGCAGCAAAGGGGGGTCATCAAAGACCCCAGTCACTTCCTGACAGCTCTTCACAAAACACAAAACCTGCGCTCATCTCAGGAAAGGCCTCAAAGCAAGTTCTTCCGAGAACCCAGGTTATTTTACAGGTTTAATAGATCCAGCGCCCGGGGCACCTGGTCTGAGGCCCAGCGGCTCGGAAGTGGCGGTCCCTCCCCCAACCGGAACCGCGCGC